AGAAAGGCTACTCAGAGTGGTTTAACTGAAGGCATCATGAATTCACTATCAACAAAGCACTAAATCACTAAATATTTCAAAGCAGAGAAGGCAGTTTTGCAAGGTAAACATCTACACTTTTACTGCAGTCTTTTCAAAGCCCTCAGGACCAAGGTCAATTTTATTGTGCTGTCATTCCACAGGAGATAAGGACTTTTCAAAGGTATACTTGTCCATTTATTATAATTTTTAAAAGTATGTAACTTGAAAGGAAAAAAACATAAAAATCTAAATTTACCAGGCAGCACAGAAACAGTGAGAATTTCTAGCGACACAAATGCTGCTTGCAGGGTTACTCTTTCCAATTCAAACCTCACTGAATGTATTTTGAAACACTGCAAAGAAAACCAAGCACTTAAAATCACTACCACGTCCCATCTGCAAGAAAGAACCCCAGAACATTTCAACTGCACCTATTCAATCCCCACAAAACTTGGCAAAAGGAATGGAAATCTGCAGAGATCTACAGGAGATATGTCATAAATATATTGTATTAAAAATAATTTTTAAAAATACAGGAGATATAATCTACAGGACTATGTCTTATTAAAAAAAATTAAAAATACAGGAGATATAATCTACAGGACCTATAACATCAATTAATATGTCTTATTAAAAAAAATTAAAAATACAGGAGATATAATATACAGGACATATAAATTAATATGTCTTATTAAAAATAATTTTTAAAAATACAGGAGATATAATCTACAGGACCTATAACATCAATTAATATGATAGCTGAGCATTGAATAATTCAGAACTCCAGGTGACAGGTTGGGTGTATTTTGGGTGTAACACAACAGCAGACAGGACACAACCTCCCCAAAGCTTTGCTTTAGGAGGTCTTGGGTACCAAGGCAGGAAACTAAAGGTTAAAAATGTGATTTGAGCTCACCTGTGTAGCTTTGAGGAAAAGCAGAGCTGCTCAAGCCAAAGCTGAAATATCAGAGTAGCAATAGGTTTCAGGAACTCCTCCCAATTACAATCACCTAATCTCTAAAGTAAATTATGGATAGCACCTGAAAGGTTTGGCTGTTTCAACAGCAAGGGTTTGTTTAACAAGAAGGAATGGACATAAGCCCAGTGCAAAAGAGAGCAGGGAAAGCAATTCCCACTCACACATTCCCAGGGAACACCAGGAAGCACAGAAAGCAGGAAATGATTGGGGAAACAGTAGGGGAAAGCAGGCTGTGGCTTAATTGGATTTTTCATATTGATAATGAATTTTAAAAGCACACTTAACTCTAAATATTTAAGTGAGACACTGCTTTTTTTAAATAGTCAGATGGTAAAAAGATTTTGAGGTTTGTTTTTTTGTTGTTTTCTTTTGGTGGAGTTTTGTTTTTCTTTGTTTTATTTGGTTTTTGTTGGGTTTTTTTTAAGTAATGATAATAAAGACATAGAAGGAGTTCTGGTCTGAGTTCACTCCTCCAAACAAGAGTAAGAAGCATGACAAACATGAATCTGTAGAAGGAATATTCTATTTTTTTTCCCCCTGAAGTATCCAGAAAAGATTTGCAAGAACTATAAGAATAATTCATTTACACGAGAAGAAGAAGCCACAGTTTTATTTGAATGAGAAAAATTATGGAAATAAGGGAAAAAATGAGTCCATCTTTGCAATGCATAACCATAATGACTCATGTTTGATCCATTTGCTTAATTATTTTGCATTTGCTAACAGCCAGTGCTGCATGGTCAACCACAACATAAAGCAGATGAGCTTTGCTAAGAATTTTAGACAGATAAAGTCTGTTCCTCATGCTGAAGGGGGATCAGCATGAAAACCAAAGTAATACCTTCCCTTTTAAAACAACTAGCTCTTTTAAAGTAAGGAGGAATGATAACAGGAATAATAATAGGAATAATAATAGGAATAATAACAATAATGTTAAAATATCATTCCTCTTTGAAACCTTGAACTGGTGCTTGCAGTTCAATGTTATTAAACTGTACAGGTGTACGAATGCCTTGCCAGCATCCTGAAATTTACTCTTCCTCTTCACAGAAGGAATGTGCATTTCCTTCTTTGCTTCATTTCTTCCTGCACTTCACCTCTATTATAGGAACTATTGGCTTCAACCACCTGCACCTTCCTCCAAACAGGCAAGTGCCAAAGCTCCTGGTTTCCTGAAACTCTTTGGGGAGAACAGCACCCCAACACAAATTCACAGCAGCATGTCAGTACTGTCTAAGCTGAATCAGATCCCTGATTATCAGCAATTAAGCCTACCAAGAAATTAGCCCAGCAGCCTCCTCTTTGCCCAAAATAATTAGCTTTTCTGCTTACAGCACACAACGGTGCCAAAACTCCTCATTTTTCAAAACAGGTTTGTGAGAGCCAAAGGAAAAGAACTTGGATTTAAAACCATGTAATTTCACCCTTAATGATCAGTGCAGTCTAGAGAAGGAATCAAGAATTTAATTCATAATTCTCTGACATATCAGTGCTGCAGCAGTGGGCTTGGCATGCCCACTGGAACATTCCACTTGAATATGAGAATCTTTTTGACTTGTGAGGGTGGCAGAGCACTGGAAGAGCCCAGAGAGGGATGAGAACCAAGCCTTTTCCAGAGGTCTGAGCGTTCCCAGAGAGGAAGGACAGGTTATTCCATGGCTTTGGAGGACACTGTGGTTCCACACATTTCACTGGTGCACAGATTTGCTGCTTTTTGGGTTAAATAGTGAAGGACTGAATGCTTACTCTGCACCTGCAGCTCATTTACAAATGCTGCACCTTTATAATCCCAAGTGGGCACCCAAATGAGTGCCAGATCTTAACAACTGTATTTTAACACTCTTAAGTACTTTAAAGGAAGATAACATATTGGCTATTCAGCAATAGCATTCCCCCACTAAGTCCCCTCATTAAACACATACAAGAAAAACAAGGTATTCAACAGGAAAAAGAAAAATAAAATTAAAAGAGCATGTATTGACTCCTTCTCTTAGCCATATTTTCTTAATACAAGCCAACATCAATCAATCTCTTCATTCAAAGTGCAATTCTCACCTCTCCACGTGGAACATGTTAATGAGTTTACACTAAAAAAAAAAAAAAATCATCTGTATTTACCAGGTACACAGAAAGAACAGGTTTCAGTGCTGCTTCCTCTGTGTGAAAGAAAAGCCAAGAGCTCTTCTCTTGCCATAGGATAACAGGCACAAAATACAAGTTCACAAAGCCAGTGTGGGTGTTCTGTTTTGGTGGGGGTTGTTTTGGGTTTTTCTTTTGTTTGGTGTTTTTTTTTTTATTACCCTCTCAGTGCTTCTGCCAGCACCGAATTTAGTGTTAATTAAAAATTGCTGGCTCAGCCCTGCACCAGGAGTGCAGCAGCAGTGCAGGTGAGAGGAGATCTGATCACCAGCAAAGGGGGGGCTCTGCAGCTCTGGAGACCATGACAGAGCCTGGAAATCAATTATGGCCCTCCTGCAACTTAAATTTATGTTTTAGAGTGGCTAAAGAAGCTCTGCTCCTCCAAGAAAATCTTAAAGTGAAATGATATCATGAAGATGAAGTACTTGGGTGAGTAAGATCCTGATAACAAGGAATGCCTTTCCCTAGAGCTGTACACACAACCCAGCACGAACACAGTCCTCACCACAAAAACCTTGGTGAGGAGCAAGCTGGGAGAAGGAAACCAAGAGAAGTTACCCCTGGATAAGATCAACATATTTCAGGCCATGAATCAGCTGGCTTCCATACCCAGTGTGTCATTTACAGAGACTATTACGGACTGAAGCTTTCACTTAAAATTATGAGAACAATTATTGCAATCAGGAAACAACCATTTGTTGGGCTGAAATGTTGCCTTCAGTGCAGTTTGCAAAACAGCTTCAGGAAATACATTTTGCTCGTCTCTACTTGTAAAGGAATATAAAAAAAAAATGATGCATGCATACTAGGGGGGAAAAACAAACAAAATAACTAACTAAAAAGGAGTGTTGTCTCCTTTTGCTGGTTTAAATAAAACACTACTACTCCTCTTCAGTTCGTCCTCTGAAAAACTCCACAACCAAAAAATTTAAAGAACTTGTGATGAGGTGAAAGGGTCAGGATTAAAAACCAAGCAGCAACCACCACACATGAGTTCTACAAAGCTTACTGCCAGTCAGCTCCTAATTTCAGTCTACATCTGAACCACTCTGCAGGGCAGTGCAGAAGGGCTGCTTGTGACCACGCTGCTCTCATCTCAGCAGGCTAAATCACAGCACAGATGAGGCCACAGGGGTATCCCAGAGCCCTTCCAAACACTCTTCCTTTAGATTTCTCCTTTTCTTTTTGGCAAACAGCACCCAGATCCTGCCCTGGTGTAATCAGGTCTCCTGACAATGTGAAACTCACACTTTAAAGAGCCCACAGACAGATGGATTCAATTTAATTCATGACTATGAACAGCTGCTCCTGATCACCAGCTTGTACAGCACACCCATTCATCACAAAATATTTCAAAAGGCTGAGCTGAAATGGAACAAATGAATTTGAAGGAGTATGGGAGGTACTGTGCTAGCCTTGGAGAATGTGTCAGATGCAAAAAGCACAGCTATGGGACTGCCATTAATTTATTCCTGTAAATGCTGGCTCTGCTCTATTAGCAGCATTCTCCAGATTCTCAAAAATCCAGGAGGGCAGCCTGAATAAGGTATTAGAAGGTGTAATTAAATACTCCTTACTGAAGGTGATTTTAACTAAGTCAGTCACTAAAAGGAGCAGACAGCATGTTTAAATTGTGCTGGGGAAAACTTCAAGATGACAAGCCTCAAACAGCTGCTGAAAGGAGAGGAGGTTATTTCCCCAAGTGCTCTAACTCAGAACAAGATCCACCAGCCATGCAGGGGAGGGCCATGGACCTGCCTTTGCCACTTTCATCTTAAATACTGTGAGAAGCCTCGCTGCTTTTAAAAAGTTTTCATCTTTCTCTTTGGTCCTTCAGCACAGCTGCAGCCAAGAAGAAGGCCCTGACAAATGAAACCACCCATTTTGAAAGTCTGTGAAGAGATGGAGAGCTGACACAGAGCTGAGTAATTCACATTCTTTCTTATTTTTTTTTTTATAAATTTCAGGAATTATGTGGCAAAAATAGACATTTTAAACATCACAGTGTTTGTCATGGCCACTGGATCATCTGTGGGTGGCTCAGTTTTTCACAGAGCACTTCCTATGAGTTGTGCACAGATGTTGGGAAGAAAGGTGATGTGCAGGGAGGAAAATTCTCCATGAGCTGCCCCAGTGGCAATTCATTCTTGCCAATTCCTGCTAGGGATTTCTAGGAGGGGGGAAAACAAGTTTCCAAGATATTTTTGAAGGTAATTCTTATCTAGAAGTGATATTTATAGCAACTTCAGACGCCTGTATCATACTTGTGTGGATTCATGAGGAAAGCATGTAATGCTTATGTAGAATTCCAAATTTCAACTGCTATGAGGTTGTTGCATCAGATTTTTCTGTCTTACTATGAAAAACACACTTTCATTCTGAGCCACAGAGAATTTATAAATAATTTGTTGTAACACTTATCGATAAACGGGGAGTAAAAATAAACAAAAGTTTCCTCGCTATAGAAAAATGTAATTTTTGCAACAAAATGGGGAAAAAAAGGAAAAATAAAAAAAAGACAGGTTTTTTGAACAATAATATTTCTCTCTTTCCTTCTTGCTCTACCTTCCTCAGGGCCAGGCAAGGAGACAGAGCTCAGGTGTCAGAAGCTTGCACAAATAATGCACACCCTCTGCCCTTCCACACAGTGGAACAAAGCCACTGCTTGCCATCACCCAGGCTCCTGCTGCCTGCTAGGAAAGCAAGTGATGAGTGCATCTCTAAAACCCAGCTCTGAGACAGCAGCTTGAACCTCTTTTGGGAGCCCCACGCGCTGCCAGGGTGCGCGCTCCGACGCGCGGGGAGACGCTGCGGGCTCGGTTTTATCTGCCAGAGCCAAGGCAGGAGCACACACGGGCTCACCCACCTTCTGCAAAGGTTATTCATCACCACAGCAACCTCCAAACAAAGGTGGGAGCCAAGTCAAACCGACTGGCTTCACCCAGCCCTGTCCCTCTGATGACAGAGGGCAAAGGTGCTCTCTGCTTGTGCCCTACAGGGGACTTAATTGCTTGGGTTTGTTTTTATGTCACTGGGTCTCACAATTCCACTCTCAGCATCCCAGCGTGCCCAGAGAGGCCACAGGGATCCATTAAACAATAAAAATTCTTCTGTAGCCCCAGCTAAAAGGAGAGAGAAGAGGCACAATTCCTTCTTGCCACACGGTGAGCAGGTGCCAAAATCCATTTCACTGTCACCCCACCTCCTCCACGTGCCAGGAACAGCTGCTGTGAAATAAACACCTCAACCAAATGTTATAGATACATAATAAATTACTGGCTTTTCACAAATATTAAAATGAATGTTATATGTATAAGGTTAGAGAACTTGGTAGTATTAATATAGTTCCTTCTATTTCTGTTATTGATGAAACTTAGAAATAGTGGTATAATATACATATGTGTTGAGCTATGGCATAGTATTAAAGCAAAAATTACTTTTGTTTGTATAACCCCAAAATTGAAAAAGATAGTTAGAGACTATCCATTCTTAAATTATCTTATCCAGATGAGGACAGCAGTGACCAGAGCTCTGGGGGAGGAATTTATTGCATTTCTGTTATCAGGGAATGTGAAACTCAGTGGATCCAAGAAGATTGATCTATGGAGAAGGGGGCAAGTTAAAAACTAAACACAGAAACATCCAAAACCTAAGAGGAATGTCTGAATTATGTATAAGAATTTATGGATATGTAGTAATATTCTGTTTTTAAGGGACAATCCTTTGTTAGCAAGGTGTGCACTTTATCACCTAATTGTCTTTCTATTAAACTTTTAAATTCTATAATAAATATGTGAACCTCGTTTTTCACACCAAGAAAAGCCCAGTCTGTTTAGCTTCCATTCTGTCCTTCCTCTCCCTTCACCACTTCTTCACATCCTCTCTCACTCCATGGGAGATTAATGATTTTGGATACGCTACGAGAATCCAACCGAGACAATAAAATAATAAACTCAGCACAAATGAAAAGCAGTTTCATTTATTCCCCTAAATCTGGAAAGATTTTAAACAAACCCCTACGTTTCCCGAGTCGCTCGAGGAAAGAGATTATGAAAAATTTCTCCATTTCTAAACCTTTCCAACTACCAGGAGGGAAAAAAAAACGCTGTCTGTAATGACAAGCTGTCAACACTCAGTGGGCAGCACGGCTCTCATTTGTGACACCGAGCTTTTGCCTGCAGAGCCAGGCACGTGGGCACCAGCAGCCAACACCACATGCAATGACAGCACTGAAAATGCCCAGATTTCTCTACCTGTCCTAAAGCACATCCCCCCACCTGAGCAGCTTGGTCTCAGGATTTAAAAGACAGAGTAACTATTTGTTTTGAATTAAAGGATTTAAAAAAACCCACCCCAAACCCAGTGGTTCTGAGGAATTTTATTTTTTACATCAAAGCCACAGGTGACTGGAGCAGATAACAAAATCTCATTTACTCCTGCCAAGAAATAGAAGTTAAATGTTGCTGTAGTAAAATCATCAAAAATACACATCCAGCTTCAGTGTTTTTGGATCTAAGCAAAATTTATGTTAACAAAAGGGTGGTTTGATTTGTACCAATGGCTTAAGCTATCATTTTTCTTGAGTTTCAGAACAGTCATTGGTAGCTAACCATTAATCTTTGGCAAGCTCATGATGGTTTACAATTTTTGTCAGTGTGTTCCAGCATCCAACCACCTGAGGCAGGAGGTTCATTTACCTGATTCTGCAATATTTCTATTAGCCAAGCACTTCAGTGATTTGGCACTTCAAGGGAGCTGATAGGAAAAGTAAGAACACGCTTTTTATCAGGGCCCAAAGCAATAGGAACAAGAGAGAATGGTTTTAAAGTCAAGTTGAATTAATATGGATGTAAGGAAGTTTTTTACAACGAAGATGGTAAAAGAGATTACCCAGAGGGGTGGTGGATGCCCCATCCCTGGAAACAATCATGGCCAGGTTGGATGGAGCTCTGAGAAACATGGTCTAGTTCAACATGTCCCTTCCCATTGCAGGGGCACTGTACTAGATGGTCTTTAAAGATTCCCCCAATGTAAAACATTTTATGATTCTATGATAATATTACTCTGACACTATAATTAAGAAGAACTACAAATTAATTTTTTAAAAAAGCAATTTTTTTTTTTTTTTAAATGCAACAAAATTCAGCTTCCAGATGAAGGTTCAAGCCACAGTTTCAAAAGCCTGCACTGCACTTGCAGGCAGCAAACAGCAACCGAGCAGAACTTCATGCAAAGTGCAGAACACTCAACCCCAAGGGCAGGACACTCCCCAGACACCCTGCACTTGAACATCTATGCTCTGTAGCACTCTCAGAAATATTTCTGTAGAAATAAATAAATGAAGAACCCCAAAAAAAACCCACCTCACCGACTCTGATTTGAGTTCACAGGCATTTCTGAAGCGCAGCCACAGGCAAACCCATGAACCTGGATGTACCCAGAGCAGTGATTTGTGTCACGGCACCATCACCCCCTGACGTGGTAGGCAGGCACTGGCTTGACTCAGTCTTTATTTGTGCAGTGAATTTTCAACCCACCTTCCTGATGGATCTGCAGTTTCAAAAGGAACCTCCCCACACGGAGCTGGTGTTCCCACCCATGCTGAGAGGGAGCAAAGGTTTTTGCCTTCTCCCCCCACGCAGGAATTCCATCTCATGAGTCAGACTGAGACCTCAGACACAACCCACAGATATCTGTCCTAAATTGGTGTCCCCCTGGCCAGGATATGCTTCCACTGAAACTATTTGGCTTCTAGAAAAAAATCTTTGGTCTCTTAACTTTTAATAACTGAAAATATTTACAAGAGGGAAAAAAAAGTGCACCAACCCAAGTGCAAGTTTGATTTTAACCAAAAAAACACTGCTTCAATAACTACCTTGCTTTTTTTATTTCTACAGACCCTGAAAATCAATTTCAATTTGAAAACCTTTCTCCTCCAAAGTTGATGCTGTTAGCACTGAAGTTGCTGTATTATTTAAGTGCTGGGTTTCAGCGTTCTCCAGCAGCAGAAAGGAACTGCATCTACCTTCAGTGGTTCCCAAGATAGCAGCTGTTTGTGCTTGAACTGAAGAGGGAAGAGCAGCTGCAATAAAAAGGGAAGGAACTTAAGGACAGGTACGTTCCAGCTTGCAGTGGTTATGTGACAACAGCACCGAATTTGTTTTCCTACACTTTCCATTAATTAAAGACTGCTTATTTTAGTCTGGCTTAAGAGGCTACTGGACCTTGAAATAATGTGCTTGTATTCCTTGCTTTGCCTTTGCCTCCTCCAGCATAAGGCAGAATTACCCTCATAATTTTTCAGGCCAGGGTAATTTTCCAACACTGCTGCTAATCAAGGTAGCATGTACAGCTCAGGACAGCACTGACCTTCAGGTCTTTGTGCAAATACCTTCTTAACAATATGGCAAGAACCTGAAATTCAAGTGCCCTGGATGCATATTACCCTTCCTGCACCCATCTTTACCTTCTACCTGCTCCAGATGAAACCTTCAGAAGTTCTGCCTAAAGCCCCTGCTCTGATATTCATGGGACAATTCAGCACCTGGTGCCCAGTTGTGTCATGCTGATGCTTTAATGGGATTCCATCCATGTGCAGAGGGGCTATCTCCCCCAAATTCCACAGAGATTTTAAAATTATTAGCTACAGCTAAGGGCACATATGTTGTTTTTGATAGCAAACGTGTGTTTTACAGACCAGGCTGCATCTCATCAATAATTCCTTGGTGCCACACTGCCAGCAGCCAGCCCAGCATGACAGAGTCTTAAATAAAGCAGGGTGTAACAAGGTGTAAGGCAGCCCTCCACACATTTGCTGTCAAAGAATCACAGCATTTCAGCTTCTGGAAGGAGCAGATTGCCATTGTTTTATCAAGGAAAATCACAGATTGGAAAAACTGACTCTAAAAAAATTAATTGTTAGCTATTGCCTTTTGTAGAGAGGTTATGGCTAGTATTGAGCTGGAAAATCCATGCACTTACATAAAAGGCTTTGGGTAGTTTCATTTTCCATTTAGCTGGAAAGGGAGAGAACCAGCACACACACACACACATTTTTTATCACCCTTGTGCTGACAGCAGCCAGTCACTACTGCTGTTATCAGAACCCCACAGGATTCCCAGGCTAAGGAAGAGGGTATAAAATCTCCTCTGGTTAAAAAAGCACAGTGGTATCATCTCCTATAACACACAAATGCTACAGAATTGAAGTTTGGTCCCACCAAAATGAGTTTGGTTACTCATTCAGTGGAGGGAGAGGGGAAAAAAATCCATAAATATACAAACAAATAGTAAGGATTCCCTAAGATTAGCTGGTAACCTGGATCTCATTTTCTCTAAGCCCATCAGTCATGCTCTGGGAAAAACAAACAAGGCAGGCCAGTCTGTGCATCCAGAAACAGAGTTTGCAATAGATACCAGTTGTCAAAGAGACAGGGAGGAGAGAGAGAAGCTGAGCTTAGGTACAACTCACCTGTGCAAATGCCACGTGCCTGGGCTTAAAACTTCAGCCTGGGTAGGTGCTGTCCCTGCTATTGCTTAATTCAGCTGGCTGGCATCTCCCCAGAGGCACTCAGAAGGCAGCTGCCCAACAGGACAAATCACTGAAAACCAGAAAAGAAATAGGTTCAGCTTTGCAATTGCACTGCACATTATACAATGAGTTCAACTTGCTATTCCATGACTTCTTAAAATGTGATTTCCCTCAGTGCCTGACAGGGAGAAATGCAATTCATCCTCTACTGTCAGAGTGAATTTCCTAAATTTCAGTAATACCAGAAAGAACTCCTCTGTACAGCCAACAGGAACCTCATGGTCAAGAGAACTGAACAGCCTCCACCCTAAAACCCTTCAAGTTTTGTTTTCAGTTTTGCATCTGACATTCAAGAATTAGTCTTTTTCTACTTCATTTCTTTATTTGTATCCAACACTTTGTTCTAACTTGACTTGTAATACAAGTGATTTCCAGCTTCCTTCATAGCTGCTATTCCAGGCACTGAACAGCTCTTCAAATTTTAGCAAATCTGACCAATTTACAGCAGAACTTTCTTATTAATTACTCTCTTTAAACCTTCATTTTGGCATTATCCCAATTCTGTGACTTCCATGTGAGGTTCCATTTCCTTTCTCTTACAAGGCCATTTACAATAAATCCAATTAAAATTAATTAAAACACACAGATCAATTTGATATAGCAACAGAACCAGGAAGAAGCAGTACCAAGTCAACTCACTGGTAGGACAATTCAGTCAATCTGAATTGACCCAGTGGTTGCACATGAATGTAAAAATGAAGTAGCACACTGAACTAGTTTTTGTACTGAACCTTATCAATCTGCTTACTAATATGAGCAGATTCTACTGGTGGTTTATCTGTTAATCACCTATTTCTGTTGAAAATGTAACATTTCAACATTTGAAGGGGAGATAAACATGTTTTTTTTTCTGACCAGGAAACCCTCACAGAAGGAAGGGCAACACTTGGGCACAACACAGGTGAGCTCAGTGACCTCAGGCAGGACTCTCCACCCTTCCATGCCCATTTCATTCCCTTCAGAACATGGATATGGTCCAAGAAGGATGAGGAGCTACTGGAGAGGGTCCAGCAGTAGGACATAATGATGAGAGGTCTGGAGTGCCTCTCTCAAGAAGAGACTGCAGGAGCTGAGCCTGGGCAATCCAGACAGGAGAAGACTCAGAAGGGAGGATGTGGAATCTCCCTTCCCTGCTCTTGTGTAACCTGCTCTAGGTGACCCTACCTTGGATGAGATGATCTCCAGAGGTCCCTTCCAACTCTAACTAATGATTATGTGTGATTCTGCAAGGAAAATTAAAAACAAAAGAGACAGACTACACCTCTTTTCTTATAGTAACTTATCTCAGTAGCTTCTTACGTAGAAATTAATTCTTCTGAGTAGAATGGAAGACTAAAGAATTCTGCTAAAAAAAAGGAAGTGGCAAACAGTAGCACACTCATTGTTTCCAGGCTCCTTATCTCTGAAATTTGTTACAGGTTTTGGGATTCTCATCTGAAAGCCAATGTAAAACAGAAAAGGGAAAAACAGATTTCACTGGTGAGTTTCTGAGCTCCTCCTTGCTAATGTGATTCCCTCGTTTGCTGCCCTGGACATGAACACAGTTAATGAATAATGACTGTGCAAACAAAATATCAGACAATGATGGGAGGGGGAGGGAAGGGTGAAATGATTGTGTGGGAGGCTTGGGTTGGATTTGGCAACAATTAGAAAAATTGATGCCCTTTTAATTATAGGAAAAGGCTTTGCTGGAAAGATAAGATGGACATGACATTCAAAATACTTTGAGTCTTTGGATTTAAATGTATGGAAATAGAGAGTTCAAAAGGCTGGGCTTCTTCATTGTGTTTTGTTAAAATTGTGTTATGTTAAAAAACACAGCTCCCAAAACTTACATCCAACTGTGTGTGCAAACCTTCAGCTCAATTCAAAGCTGTTACAGGACAGATGTGATTTGCTTTTATCACTCTCTGGGAATATATACTACATTTTTTACATTTACTACATTATTTACTACAATATTATTTACTCCTAAAAGCTAGAAGATATCTTTGTTTTTCCCTTCTAGTAAGAGCCCAAGGCAGGAGAAGTTACAGACACTTGAAGAATCAGTCCAGTAACTCATTAACATCATTTAAGATCCTCTCCTAACTGGTTCCACCGAATAAATTATCAAAAGAGGGCACCAGAGATTGCTCCCTGTTTGATTAAGGTTGCAGAGTGCACATTTCCTGCTCTGCTGTCATTCCCAATTCCGGCAGCTCCTGCCAGATTCTCACATGTGAGAAATGCCTGCTACAGGCACATGAAATGCATTATCCCATATTCCTTTAGTAGCACAGAGCAGCTTAATGATATCCTTTAAAAAGTTAAAAGGGAAAAGGACATTTCTCCACCAAGCTCACACACAATTCCTCAATTACAAAATAAATCAAAACCTCTTGCAGTTTTACTTTGTGCCTCTACAGATCTTTTTTCCTTAACATCATATTTACATGATTATTTCTACAGTGAGATATAGCCATTTCTAAATAAGTGCTATTACATAAACCACACTTGCTGTCCTAAAATTTATAGTCACCATTTCCATTATTCAGTATCTTTCATCAGCACATCTCAAATAGTGTTTAAAAGATTTAATCATGTTAAACTACCAACTACCATTCCAGATGTGACTTAGAAAGCGAAAGCACAATTAAACAAGGCAGGATTTTTCCAGGAAATATGGACTGTGATACTTAATCTGGCAAAATAACAGAGAGATAATTTAAAGTAAGGTATCTACAAAGAGCAGTGTCTGTGCCAAGAGACTGTTTGTATTGGTTTTGCAAAGAGTGGACAGAATGTTCTTTTCCAAAGAACCACAAAACAAACTTCCTGAACCAATCTGAGTTTTCTTTTTGCTTGTATTTAATCCAAGTCAATGTGGCCCAGCCAAACTTATTTAATAAGAAGTGGGGGGGAAGAATCAATTAGTTTGGCATAACCTTGTCTTGGAACAGCACAGTCACAATGCAAAGTGAGTGGAAGTGGTCACTGAGCAGATCTAGAACCACTGCTTCTCTGTGAAATTAGTAATAATAGCAGGGAAGGGGCTTTTTGACTATTTTTTAAAAACATTTCTTGCTCAGCATTACAAGCAGCTGTAATTAACTCCCTTCCTTTTTTGTTTTGTTCTGTTTTTAATGCGAGTCTCTTGATGCACACCAGCAGGGTTTCAGGATGTGGAAAAGAGAGAGGCAGTGTGTTGAGATGGTAATGCAGCACACAGGAAAAAGAACTTGAAATCATCACACACCAGTTTACTTAACATCATCTTTTATTCCTAAATCAGTCATTTATATCATCTAGAAAAAAAAAGAGAAGAAAAAAAAAACAAAACTAAAGAAAAACCAACAAAAAAACCTTCTCCAAGTTCAGCTTTTACCTCTTTTGGCCTTTCAGGAGTTGATGGGTAAGTGCACAGGGAAAAGCCTCTTTGCAAGGCAAAGATAAAAGCATTACTGGTAAGGTCAAGAGAGACAACATATCCTTTAGTGTGATGCATTTGTAATCCCTGTTTTAGAAGTACTAATGAATTTAAAATTAAAAGACATAATACACACCCTCTACCCTACAGGGAGATACTGGGAACCCCAAAACAAACACACCAACATTCAACCCTGCAGCAGGTCTGTTTACATGTACATCTGTGAAGGTTTCTTGACTAAGAAAAATGCTCATTTCACCAGAGACACAATGCAAGACTGCTCCCAGCACCTCTAGAATACAATTTTTCCAAAATGCACCACAGACAGATTTGTCACATTTGCCACACAAATGTCCATCTCTCCTCTCTGATGGGCTAAGATGCTGCATCATTTTGTCAGAGGGCCAAAAGGAAAGGAAGCCACCACACCACTCATGTACAAGTCAGACACTTAAAAGATTATATTCAACAATATAATCTCAAAATGCTGCACTATAATTCCACTACAGAATAGTTATCCTAAAGAGATGAATAAAACACCCCCCCAAGAGTGGGATGGATATAAAGAGAGACAAATCTGAGGGGAAGACAATAGAACTGCAAAATGTATTTCATGTTATTTATAATGAGGCAAAGCTTTGTAAATCCAGTTTGATGTCTAAAAGTTGTCCATCTTCACTGTCAGATTTGGTTTATTCACAGCCAGATACTAGATTTCAGTGGTTATCATCACAAGCTGTTTCCTTGTTTACTTCTGCATTTTGTTCGGCTTCTTACAGGGTAGAAAATAAAACCTGTTTTTCCTTTTAGATTCCTCCTGCCACAATGTTTGGTTTTCAAACTCTTAAAGGATCAGGTTTAATGAACTGAAAATCAATCAGTACTATTTTTATTTTGAAATAGGAGACAAATTATATTAGTCTCAGGTATCATAAAAATTCTTTTCATATATTCAGCTTGGATCCAATTCTGAACCTCAGTGCATTAAAATTACACTGTCAAATATATTCATGTGTAAACCCTTATTCTACCTGCTAGAGGCATATCTTGGTAGAAACCCTACAATTATTATTTTTTCAATTGAAGCAAAGAAAGATTATTAATAAAAAAACCTCCAAATGTTAAGTTTCTCCTTTCCTGAAGTCAATACAGAATCGGTCTCACATTTCAAGAGATCTGGGATTTCTTGTTAGCACTACAAAAGACAAACCTGTGTCTTCAGATATGGGGTAAGCAAACAAAAAATACCCTGAGCACAGGATATTATTTAGGAAGATTAGATTATTGTCTTTAAATGCCACTACAGATTGAAAGGATGACCATAGAGAGCAATGGGAAACAGACACAGGGTAATACTGGTGTGATTAAATTCACCACCCACTCCCACAAAAGGGACATGATAAGGTTGGGACTGCTCTTAAAAATTCCCAATACTTTTGACAAAGACTGATCTAAGATGTGTGGGAAGAATCATGTGTGACTTCAGAAAAAGCAGTAAGAAAAAATAATTTGTATTTTGGACAGAAGGAGAGTGCAAGAAGGGCTCGGTTTCTTACTAGTCACTCTGAAATGTGAGCAGAAATGCTCAGCCCTCGATTCTC